GGCCAAATGGAGTGGTGAATACAATTGTGTACAATTCTGTATCACATTATTTTCACCGGTGTACTAAGTGGTGAAAACTGACATATGGTCTATTTGCTCCACACTGTGGCATGGCATGTGTATATTTCTTTCTTATTGTGATGTGAGCTACTTATGTAGTTCATTTAGGCTTGTTATGAAGACATGTCTTTAATTGGTTCGGTGGGATTCTGATCAGCGGTTCAAAAATTATGAAGTTTCTTCTGCCTCATTAAAGCCTGCGCCAGCATCTCCTGGCAGAGCTATGTTGCACATGCTCAGTTTCAGTTTGAAGCTAGGATGCTGCCAGTAGTCCAAAGTTTTTGGGGGAATCCTATTTTATAGAGAGAATCTAGCAGGTTCAATGCGTAAAGTGTATTCCTTTAGTTAAGCCTTTACTGTTATGGGGTGTGGCTTCAGAACTTTCAACTATATTCACTACTTGGAGGTAGACCCTCAAGGAGGAGGGGTGGGGAAGTAGGAAGACCTTAACCTGTTGGGTGCTCTGCCTGGCCCCAACCCCAGGCCTTCAATTTACCTCAACAGAAGGCATCCAGTTGAAATGAAAGTGGGAGGCACTGGGCCAAAGGCTGAAGTCCTTTCCCACTCCTTTTCTGCTTCTCTGCAGAACTGAGGTGGGATTCCTTATACGTATTTGCACAGGGTCTTTCTTTATCCACCACCCTCTATATTTCACGAAACTATCGCAAGGTGGTGCTGCAGGATAGCGTTCCTGTGCGAACACCGGTGGCTTGCACCTCGCCATTTCCTTCAGCCTAAGAAAAGGCTGAGGACATGGTGGCAAAGAAGAGGAGAGGCCCCAGAGGAGGCTCGTGGTGTGTAAAGCACTGACAACTGCCACAATGTCGGACTCACGAGTGCAAAATAAATGTGCCATGTAGGAAGTCTCACAGTTTGAGAGAATAAGCAGGAATGAAAAAGGGAGGCAAGCCCACCCTCCCAGCGCCTACCAGAGCCTTTCTCCTAAGCAGAGCCTAACCCAGGCTCCTCCTCCCGCGCCGCTGCCAAGTGGCTTTCTTTTCACCAGATGGGGTGGGGGGGCGTGTGTGTGGAGGACCTGGGCTTGGTGGAGAGCCACCCAGAAGGGAGTCTCTCAGGCAGGAGTGGGGGAATCCGCTCTGCAGAACAGCTCCTTTCCATGGTGCCACCTGGCTGACAGGGCCCCACTTCCAGACTGGGCCAACCCTCCCCGTCCTGCACCAGAGTTCTCCTCCGCTTGACCGGCTGCAAGGCTCATCACTGGCGATGCATCACATTGGGTTGCCATGACTCTGATACCGGAGGCAGCAAAAAGCCACCAGGACTAATAGCCATTGACAGCTGTATCAAATAAGAACCTGTATAGCCCTCCAAATTTAAAGTCCTCTGGACTGGTGGCCAGCACTACACCTTGTGATAGTGAATGCCACACTGTGAAAAGAAGCACTTCCTTGTATCAGTTGCCCTACTCTGTACTTTTTCCATTTTGGGTTTGGGGACCTGAAGTCTTTGCTGTCTTTCAAGTGCTGTCACACCAGAGTTGTGCAAGGGCATAACAACAAATGTTTTGTCTTTCCTTCCTTTTCTAATTATACCCAGCAGGGAATTTGCCTTTTTTACAGCAGCCATACATGGGGTCAACATTTTCCTCAACAAACCCAAGTTCTCTTTTCTGTTCTGCTGGCACTACTTCAGGTGCCATCAATGCACATGAAAAGTTATGTGTTTTGTCACTTCATGCATCACTTTACACTTGCTTTCACTGAATCATCTTTGCCATTTCAAGGCCCATTCTTACAGTTCAAAGATAACCATGGTAAACATGACATGAGCAAAGCCAGCTGGAGCCAGGGTCAGACTAGATGGCCCAGGAGACCCCTTCTGACTTGATCTCTTTCTATGTTTTTATGTTTTGGAGCCCTTTGTAATCATTTTGTTTAAACCTCCCTCTCCCCAATTAATTTGGTGTCATTAGCAAACTCTGTCACCTCATTGATCACTCCTAATTTCACCTTATTTATGAACAGGTTAAAAAGAATTGTACCCTTTACGGATTCCTCTGGTACCCTCTTTTTACAGGCTTCAGAATATTCCTGTTCTCCCATTGTTGTTAGTTGGTGCCTTAGGGAACTGAGGAGGGGAACGTAATACACGGTAGTGTAAAAAGAAGGATTATGGCACCCTGCCACTTTTTTTGAAAGAAGAAATGCAGTACAGGAGCCTCAGTCTCTGCTCTTTCTTTTCATATGGTAGATAAAGGAAATATTGGGACTGAGGCTCATGTGCTGACTTTTTGAACGCAGAAGGACAATGTGAGAAGCCTTATCATTGCTGCACTTTCTTGTGTGGTAGGATTTCCTGTTGGGTAAGGTTTTTCCCATGGTAAAGGTACCACACTGCACCTGTTAATGTTTGAACAAAGATATGCTTCCAGAAGAAGAGTTAAAAGTGAAAGAAGACTTTGTCAAAATATACAGCTGCTTGTGGAAAATGGTGGCCGTGGAGTTTAAAAAGATGCCAGCTTAGCCATTAGACAGAACAAGGCAGTCGTTCATGCTTCAGGCAGAATCATCGATTACACAGAGATGATGCAAACAGTGCAGAAAGGTTGAAATACCTGCCTTATTTGCATGGACACCCATTTAAAAAAAAACCTTGATGCAAACTAATTTGAAACTACATTTCTGTCTTTCACGTATAAATGACAACAGTGGAAGTGAGACTTAACCACTTTAAATAGCATTGCAGGGACCCAAGAACAAGAGGAGTCCACTGTTATCCCTGCAGAAGGATTCATACAAACCAAGAAAAACATGGAGCAGACCAAAGGCCTGTCTTGAAGGCCATCCTGTTTCATAGCAGTCAACTTCATGCCTAAGGGAAGCCCTCAGGCAGCACATGTGGCCAATAGACCTTTCCCACTAATGCTTCTCTGCAAGGGCATTTCATAGGCTTGCTCTGGAGGCATTGTAGCCATCTGAACTAGTAGCCATTGATGGCCTTCTCCTCCATGAATCTGTCCAATCTTCCTTTGAAGTTATTCACAAAGTTCTCTTGAAGTTCCTGAATCTCCCACCATTCAGATTACCAGTTCCAGCATTTATCAGAATGTGAGATGTAGTCCTCTCTCTATGAAAAAGCAGTCATGTTGACCATCAGAAAAATTTCAAAGCCCATACAGTGTAAAACCTAAGGCAAAGTCAATGATCACAAAAGATATGCAAGCTTGCAGGATCTTCAGATGTTTTCGTCACATCTCACATGCTGAAGAAATTGCAAGCTTGCATCATGTTCTGTGATCTTGGAGTTGATGTACTCCAAGATGATGATGAAGGTAATAGATTCTTTCTATAACAGGCATCACTTGTATCACAACTCTGGCTACCTGTCTTTCTTTTCTCCTTTAAACTAAACTGAAACGCACCAATGACCTTTCCTTGCTCCAGGCGCTGATCATTTCGACTGCCTTCTAGAATTTTGTTCCTGAAATGAAGGGAGGTCCTGAGAGAGAATCAGCAGGAGACTGACATCAATGTGTACATGGACGTGCTCTGTAAAGATGTTCAGCTCTGGGATCCCACAATACTCTCGGGCTCCTGGGTCACAGAAGGAGGGCAAAAGGGATGGACTAAAGAGCCCCTCCCCAAGGCTGGCCACTGATTGCCCCCTCCATGATCAAGCAAAAGAAGACGATGGACAAGGCGCGTCAGTGTTGTTCGGTGCCCCACACTCTCTCCTGTAATGACTCTTTAGATACCCACCTCCTGCTACTTCTTTGAGCTTCTCTTGCCTTTTGTTATCTGCCTGTACAATAAGTAGATGGAGAGCAGGTAAAGGACACAGGTAACCCGCACATTCCTGGTTTACCGGCCACCAACTCGGGCATCCTGTGCATGGTTTCCCTGGGAGTAAGCGCCTCACCCTGAGCTTACGCGCAACATTGCACCTGTTGCTGCTTCCCTCCTCCTCCGTTTCCATGGCTGGAGGCCACCAGAGCATCACGCCCAGGTGAACTTAGAGGCTGGATCCAGCGCTCTGCTGGACGGTGCGTGCCGATGGCCAGGTGCGTCGTGGCGCAGCCGCCACTTTGCTGTCCCCCCGCCCCTCCCCACTGCCGCCTCCCGCGCGCAAATCGGCTCCATTCCCGATCAGCTGGAATAACAGCAGCGCTGCCGGCATTCCGCTCGCCCGCTCTCCAAGGAAAGTGACGCTCAGTTCCACTGCCTTCTTTTTCCTTCTCCTTTCCGGGAAAGCAAAGCGCGCCGCGCTGACCACGTGCAGCTTCGCACGGGCGGCTCGCGAATGCCGGAGTGCAGCGGAGTTCGCTCCTGCACCACCTTCCTCGCTCTGGGTGGTCGCTGGCGGGGAGGCAGCGGCGGGCTGCGGGGGCGCCGGGGGACGAGGCGGACGCCTCCCGCAAGGGCCGCCGCGAGCTGCGCCGCAGGGCGGCCCCTCCCCGCCTGTCCCGGGGCAAGGGGAGCCGCGGAAGGGGCAATCCTTCGTCTGCCCCCCCAAATCCAAGCGCGCGCGTCTGCCGGGAGCCGGAGCCCCCGCCACGCGGCTCGCTCCCGCTGCCTCCTGATTGGCGCTCTGCAGCTCGCCTCCCCGCCGCCCCCGCAGCTGCTGGGGCTGCCGCTCCCGGGGCGGCGGCGCGCACCGGGCGGACGGGGGAGCTGCGCCCGCGTCGCTGCGGCCGGGCTGTGGCGGCGGCGGCGGCGGCGGCGGCGGCCGTACAAAAGGCTGCGCGCTGGCGGCGGCGGCGGAGAAGGCGACTGCCCGCGTGCGCGGCCGGGCGGCGGCGGAGCCCGCGGGGGACGGTGTGGCCGGGGGATGCCGAGCGGCGCTGCCCCGCGCCCGGTGAGCATGTGGCGGGGACAGGCTCTCCCGCGGCACGTGTCCGCGGCCGGCGGCGGCGGCGGCAGCGGCGGCAGGTGAAGCGCCCCTCGCCAGCCCGCCCCAATGCGCGGAGCCGAAGGGAGCCCATGGATTGCCTGCTGCTCTTCCTGGGGACCGCGCCCGCGCTGGCTGGCAGCGGCGGCGGCGCCCGGCGCCCCCTCGGCCTCCCCTGGCTGGGCAGCCTCGCCAAGGTAAGCGCAGGGAGGCGAGCGGCGGCGGCGGCGGCGCTCGGTGCCCGCTCGCGGCGCCCGGGCGGCCCGGCCGCCCCGCGGGTCCCTCTCGCGGCCGTGCGCGCCCTCCTCCGCTCTCTTCTCCGCTCTTTTGCAGAGCCTGCAGCTGTGCTGCCTCTGCTGCGTCTCCCTGGCGGCGGCCCTAACCGGCGACGGCAGCAGCATCCGCGGATCCAGCCACGGTTCGTAGCCCTTTCCGAGCGCGCGCGAATGAGTGCCCTGTCCTGCGTGTCGTGGGGGTGAGCAGCAGCACGCGAGTGCGAGCAGAAGGCGAGTGTGCGTGCACGTGTGAGGGGGCTCCGCCGCCTCCGGGTCTGCCTGGCCCTGGAGGAGCGCCGCTGGAGCCCGCCGTGGGGCTCCCCGCTCCTTTCCTTGCAAGCTGGGGTGCTCTCAGGCAAGGCTCTGGGCGCGCCGGCACCTCCCGCTTCGGGGATCGCAGGGGGCCAGCCTGGGATGGGAGCTGCCGCCCCTCTTTCCCCGCCACTGCTTCCACCGTTGTGCTCGCTGCAGCCAGTCCGTCACGGGTGCCTATTTAGACAGGGAAAAGGGCTGTAGTTCCCGGCGTTCCCTAGGCAGCCTGGCTAGCTGGGGATGCTAGGAGTTACAGGGCCTTTTTCTGCTGGAATATGCCTTGGATCATGCCTGGGGAAGGACACGTCAGAATAGCTGCACTGCACGTTCTAGGACTTCTCCACCTGGACGCGTTCATTGCCAGAGCGGCCTGGGGGCAGGTGAACCGCCTCGCTGTGGGGCTGTGCGAATGTCCTGAGACAGAAGGCTGCACTTGAATTGTGATGGATCAAGCGTCCACATCGCTATAGCTGGTGGCATGAGTGTTTCATTCACTCGCTTTGGTGGAGAATGACTCTACCTAGGCCAGTAATCTTATTTCAAGTTAAAAGTTGTAGCACTTGTACCTCTGCTTATTAGATCCTGAAGATAAGCACCAGGCACAACACCCTAACCCTCTCCTCCACTGAAACGAAGTCTACACTCGTTTAAATGAAATATACACACATTCTTCACCTGTTTCCCCTTCCCTTCATTTCCTCCCCCTTCCTTTATTGTGAGTCCCTTGGTGTTTTACCCTATTTTCTTACATTCTTTACAATGCCATGTGCATTGATGCAACTATATAAATAGTAGTTGTTAGTATAATGTTGAATTTACCCAAGGCATCTGTCAGGCTCCTGACAGAAGCAGCAGCACTGGACTAGCTGGGCCTTCAGTCTGTCCTAGCAAAATATTTGGTATGTTATTCATAACTGTGGGAATACTGTGGTGATGCTGCTATGAGGATTACAAACTTGCACCTTAATCTTAAAAGCTATTTACTTGGAAATCTGTTCCATTTGTTTAAGCACTGAAGATCCAGGGGTGGGGGAGAGGTAGGAGAACGTGATGCTACACCAGAACAAGTTCTACTGGCAGCAGCATGACTTACTTCCATGTCAATGAAACAGAGACGGATATTGTTGCTAGTCTGTGGCAACAATCAGCCATGCCTTTGCAAAGCTCTTACCATGGTGAAAAGAAACTCATAAGGAAAGAGGAAAGGGTAGGAATGAATGATTAGGTTTATAATGATTTGTATGGAATAGCACCAGTCTGGATTTTTGAACAGAACAAAGTCCTTGAAAACCACTTCTGTCTCCTCTTTGGAAAAATAGAGAAGGCAGATGAGATGTAGCAGTCTAGGAAAACACATGTGAACAGGCAGGCGGTGATTCCTAGATTTCAAAAAGGACAGAAGAAGGGGGATGATAACTGGTGGAAGGCCGATTCCAAATTCGGAAGTGATTGTTAATGTTCGAACAATTGCAAAGAGTGCTTCGCAGTCCAGCGCATATGGCAACGAGGAACGTCGAGCCACCGCAGTCAGGTTCTGCGCTGGTATGCACATACCTACAAATACATCAGGATGTACAGCTGTGCATGTTCTGCAGCTTGGCAGGAGTGATGCATGATGTGCTTACTGGGAATGCTAACATGTGCAACACATCGACAGAATGGGAAAGGCGGACCTTGGTGCATGTGCCTGTTCGCTGGGGAATTCCTCCCTCTCGCAGCCGCTTGCATTTTTGGCTACCAGCCTGCTTAGCGTTCTGAACTTCTGCCACTGATTAGCACCTTTGGAGGAAAGTGAAAGGCTGTTGATGTATCATTTCCACTGTCTACAGCAAAAGCAAGCCCTCACTGCTTACATTTGCAACCGGATATGCACCCAAAAAGCTGTTTGAGCAGAGGAAACAGTACGAACTGCATAAAGAAGCTGTTGCTCAAATACAGTTTCTTGTCTTATTTGTACAGCAGCAACTGTACAGCATACAAAGAGCAGCTACAATAAGTCCTACTCCAAAGGGCTTACATTCTGAAATAGATCTAGGGGAAACAATGGAGGGCGGGGAAGATAGAGGCCTTTATAAGGTTAGGCTTAGTTCCAAGAAGTTCGAAAATCAAAACACATTTGAAAGGTTGTCCATTGAATGGGTCGGTTTATGCATACAGCTTGCAATTGTATTATGCATGTGCAGGAGTAATTGGTGACATTCTCTGTGCTCCCTATGGCGTTTCTTTCTTTTCTTTCTTTCTCTTTTTCATTCTTTTGGTAAGAGGGTCCACTCATGGACTGAATCCAGAGCTAGTTCTTGGTGATAGTGTCCTTGGGATGCCGGCACGTGGGCAGGCCCAGTTTTGATGCCTGTCCCTTCCCCTGCCCCATTTCTCCTGTCCTGACACTCCAAGCAGCAGATGCATTTAGCAATCTTTTTCTTCCCCATAACAGCCTGCTCCTGGGTGGTTTTGAGCACTGCTGCCACAGCCAGGCATGCCTGCTGTGGCTCCCTGATGCAGGAGGGGGGCAACTGAAGGAGACCCTGCCCACGGTCCTGGGTGGGTCCAAGACTCAGCAGCCTCATGGCCTGGGACTGGAAGTCCCTGTGTGCTCACATGGCCAATGAGGGTGTTGAGTGGGTCGCACAGTTTGCATTAAAGTGGCAGTGCTGTTGGAGTGCAGCCCAGTAGAACACTTCCTCCATCTTCTAGCGCCATTCACGTGAAAGCAGCATCACATTCTACAAGGTAATTATGTTACACCAGTCTTACATGGGTGTTTGTCAGTGTGTAACTGGCACATGTGTCTTTTAAACCATGCGCAGCTGCCTCGGGCAAGTGCTGCTCCCAGGCGCATGTCCCCAAGCATGCAAGGCATGGATCCTTGCCTGTTAGTCGTACTGTAAGTGGTGCGTACCAGTGCACCATTGCACTGTTGGAAAGCGTACAGTCCCAGCTGGACATTGGCCTGCGGCACCAGCATAAGGATGACTGATGGTGTTGACGATGACGGCAGTGGTAACAGCAGCCATTGCTCTGTTAGCATGCTGAGGCCTGGGCAGATAGAAGGTCTGCACCTGATGCTGCAAAGGTAGAGTGAACTGTTTGGGAGTGACCTTCAGGAAGCCCTGAAAAGGCCCTTCCCCAGCCACCATCTGCTTCACTGGAGAGTGGCTCAGCTAGGGAGGTGGGGAGCTGTGCTGGGGCTTGGAAGTGCTGAGCTGCGATGCAGCACTCTGCCCCTCTTCTTTGGGCGAAGGCCCAGTCAGTGGCCAGCAGAGACTTTGTCTGGTTACCAAAACCAAGTGTGCCAGTGCCTGCTCCCTTGTTTCCTCAGGAACCAAGGCGTGTGTTTCAAGGGTGGGCAATCTGGATACCTGCTCTGGATCAAAGGAACAGTATGCCAGGCAAGGCTGTGCATTCCTGTAGGTCTGAGTCACTGAGCTGCATTTCTTAACCTGCACATACGTTTCCCTCCATCTCACTCGTCCAGTTGAATCTGATGTTTAAGAATTTCCCCCATTGCTTGTGTCTTATTTAAATCTATGCTATCCTTCTGTTCTAAGGTCCTACCCAGCTTCTAGGAGCTCCAGGCAGCATAAGGGCACAAGAAGACCCATGTTAGATCAGGGCAGCATCCTGCTTCCAATGCAGCCATCCAGGTGTCCCTGGGCATCCACAGAGGCAACAGCTCTCCCCCACTGTAGCTTCCAAACAACTGGTACCAACAGACACGCTGCCCCTGAATTAACACCAGTAGAGAGAAGCATGCCTAGCTGTTGCTTCTTTCAGGATTATACTTGACACGGGCCACAGACTTTGAGCATTTTGTATGCACTGTGTCTGCTTTTGAGAGCACTGGTCCGTATTTATGTTGTGTTAGAGTAGTCAACAATTGGCCATACAGAGCAGGGATACGAATCTGCTCCAGGTGTATTGGCACATGGCCCTTCGTTGTACTTTGGTGATTTGGAACTAGGAGCCACACCTGTTTGATTGCAAATGGGCACTGCTAGAAACAGACGCTTTTCAGGCATGGGGATATCTTCCTCAGCTGATGATCCGTTACAGAGTTTGAGCAAACCACTCTGGGGCTGGGAGTAGTGTAATCTTTTGATCTAACTGAACAAATTGTGCAAACCGCAGAATTCTTTGCTCTGCTTTTGAGGGACAGGGAGAGGGGACAAAACACTTTCCCATTTGTCATCAGTTAATAGAAGGGATGAGGAAAGAAGAACATACATCTCAGTGATGACAAATGTCTTCACCGAAGTGACTGTGGGAAACTTCACAGCTACGCCACTCTGTCTGTTCTAGCGGGAATGTTCAGAGGGCAGAAAGGAAGCGAGTGCTGGTTTATAATCCTTGTGATTTACATGGGGCTTGCTTAAATTGCTTTAGAAGTATTTATGCATGCATGGCTGTGTCAACACAGACTGTAGGCTCCCAGTGACGCTCTGCAAATGGTGATAATGACCATGTCCTACTGAATTCCTGAATTTTATAGTGTGTCTCACAGAGGGTGGCTTTTAAAAAGCACACAAAGAAAGCGACATGCCCTTGGGTGATCAAGGCTGATGGCTAACAACACTTTATCCTTCCAGATTACATCTTTGTCACTCCCATCGAGGTAGACTCCACTGGAGCATACATTTCGCACAATGTTTTGCACAGTGCTAGGAGGAAGAGATCAACCCCAAGCCTGAAGAGTTCCTTGCACTACAGATTTTCAGCATTTGGACAGGAACTGCACTTGGAGCTCAAGCCTTCTGTCTTCCTTGGCAACCATTTGACTGTCCAGGTGCTTGGGAAAGATGGTATCACAGACTCTCAGGAACATGAAGTTGAACAGTGTTTCTATCAGGGATTTATAAGGAACTATAGCTCTTCTTCGGTTGCCATATCTACATGCGTAGGCTTGGTAAGTGTGCTTTTCCACTTAAGAATGACCCAGCCTCTTCCCTCTCCCTCTCCCTTCCTCTTTAGCTTAGGAGAATCCCCAGTGCTGCAGGTCTGTATTAAGGGTCCTGCTTGGGGGCTACATCAAACCTGGTTTATAAATCAGCAAAGTCACCCATGTCTTTGTGAAATTCTGAACCCATGGTTAAAGCTCAACAGACAACACAGGTGGGATAAACTCGTTTTGACACAATGAATGAGATGCTGCAACCTTATTCCCCGTTAGCCTGGCTTTCCAACTGGAATCATGTTCAACAAGAGGATGTTACTTACAAAGAATATCATTCTATGTGAAAACCAGTGTCCATCTTTTCAACCATTCTTGGAAAGACAGGCCCAATGTAGTACTTTGAGGGCAGATGCTAATCCATGGGAATTCCTTTTCTGCACAATGTATTCACAGCTATATGTATGCAGCAATGAGTGAGTGACGGGAAAGTCCACGATCCTGCCTGGATATGTGTGTATAATGTAAACCTAGCCTTCATTCACATTTCTCTCATCGCCATCCATTTGCTCATAGGAACCGGATTTGTAGAATGATTCCTGAAAATTGTATGGAAAATGAGGTTACCCAAGAGTGCTTCATGATGCAAGGCCTCCAGCCTTTCTTCCTTTTTGGTACCCATCTTATACGTTGCTGTGCATTCAGGCCTGATCTGTCATGATTGTGTCTCTTTAGTACTTCTGCTTTCTGCTGTGGAAGCATGGAAGTAGTATTGGATTTCCGGATACCATGATTCTTAGTTTTGTTCACAAGTGCATTTGTGGACTCTGTCTGGCAAAAGGACAGAGCAGAGTGAGGCAGCAGTGTTTCCTGCTGATTAGGAGAGGAGCTCCAGTAAATCCTTAATCTGCCCCACGGCTGCTGTTCCCTCAACACTGTGCTTGTGCCCACCACCTAGCTTGGTCTCTATCCTTATTCTTTACAATCTCCCATACATTTCAATAATTTCTCTTGTATGCTACCTATTCCTGCTAAATCATTATTTGTCCTTGGCTGTATGAACCATTAGCGCAAAGATGCCCAGTACTGGGAGAGTTAAATTGCTCAGTGGGGTGGAGCAGTGGATCCCTCTGGTCCCTTGGACTCATGCAGGCCAATATACATGCGTTTGCATGACAGTGTCCTTGCAGCTCAAAGCCTGAGGCCATGGATAGCCACCGGGAGCACACTAGCCTCTCTCTGGGCCAGACCCTGGGGGAGATGGGATGGAGGAGAAGGAGCTGCTATGGCCCCTGCGCTCACTGACTCTCAGGCAAGCCAGTTGTAGCAAAGATGAGGAAGGGGAGGAGGAGCAAGGGCAGCTGGCCCTGTGGCACGATGATGAATTCATCAAGGGAGGGTCCCATACAGGAGAGACCTCAAACAATGAGAGCCACTCCTGGAAATTCCCTGCATAAGTGTCTTAACTCTTGCTCCTTCTGGATATAAGCCCTGGGTATTTGGGCAGTGGACTTACACACACACCAAATGGTCTGTATAATTTTGCTTGTCAACAATTTCCTTGCCAATGAGGTACAAAATTATTATTATTATTATTATTATTATTATAACATTTCTATGCCGCCCCTTGCCGAAACCTCGGGGCGGCTTACAACATGATAAAATACATTGAAATACAATAGTACATAATAAATTACCATTAAATATAAAAATACAAAAAAATACATTGATTTACAAATACAAAATTAAAATTATCAGTATAAAATAAAAATATAGGAGGAGAAAGAGAAGGAAGAAGAAGTTGCCCAGGCCAGATCATAGGTTTTAACAATTGAAATGATGTTTAAATAAAAAGGTCTTTACCTGGCGCCGAAAAACCAGTAACGACGGTGCCAGGCGGACCTCTTTGGGGAGTGAATTCCATAGGTTGGGCGCCACCGCAGAGAAAGCCCTCCTCCAGGTACTTACTCTCCTAATTTCTTTCATGGAGGGTTCCCGGAGAAGGGACTCTCCCGCAGATCTCAAAGGGCGGTCGGGCATATACGGACGTAAGCGCTCGTTCAGGTAGCCAGGACCCAAGCCGTTTAGGGCTTTGTAGGTCATAATCAACACCTTGAATTGGGCCCGGGCTTCAATGGGAAGCCAGTGAAGCTGATGGAGGACTGGAGTCATGTGAGCATAACCCCGTCCCCGTCAGCAACCTGGCAGCTCTATTTTGCACCAATTGAAGTGTTCGGACCGTCTTCAGGGGAAGCCCCACGTAAAGCGCGTTGCAGAAGTCTGGGCGGGAAGTCACCAGCGCGTGTGTCACCGTCGCCAGGCAGTCGTACTCCAGGTAGCTGCAATATGACTTAATTTTCCTGCTAGAGGAATTGGCTATGGTGGATCTGGCCTCAGTTTGGAAACTTAATTTATTCTCTAGACCAACTCTGCAGGTCAGGTCTGTTGACCTCAGGGCCCTTCAAATGCAGAGGAAATACGTTCTGTCACCTTAAGAAAGAATCACTTTGGTGGGTGTATGCTATTATCTCTCAGCCACTAGTGCAGAATAAATGAACACTGCAAAAGCTCTTCCATGGAAATTTGATTTTCCCAGTGGTGCCACTGCTCAGTATTCTGCTCAGGCTGGAAGCAGTTCTCCAAACAGATGGGTCACATGAGCTTTTCCAACCTGCTATCTGAGAACCCTTTAAGCAGAAATGCAAGGAACTGACTAGCTGCCGATGTTTCCAAATGCTGATAGAGGTCCATGGAGGGGGCCGTTCTCTTTACTGAGCTTTGGAATGCTTTGTCTAGTTTGTGGTGGAACTTTCTCCCTCCCCTTGTGAAGAGACTTACAATGCAATTCTGAACATGCCTGCTTTGAAATATAAATTGGGAAGAAATTTGTTTGGTTGACATTTTAATACCAATATACATATTTGGTGCTTGCAGAACCAATATGGAAACTGAAACATAGTTAGCCTTTGATATTTGCATTTCTCCGAATTTTGTGCTGTGTTCAAAAATATCTATAATGGGAATTGTGCACAGAAGTGCATGCATGTGAATGTGTGCATGCATGCACACATGTTTCTCTGAGCCATAATATTAGAGAATCACTATACACTGTGTGTGTGTGTGTGTGTGTGCGCGCGCGCACGTGCGCACGTGCATGTGTGGATGTGCAGGAGGAATTGTACCACCCTGAGACATTGTGAAGGGCAGGATATAAAAGCTTTAAAACAAACAAATTAACAAAGTTGATTGTAGAAATGTACACATTAGAAGTAAGTATACATAACTGTATAAAACATATATGGACATTTATGAAGACTTATTTAAAAATGCAGATTGGTGCAGAAATGTCATGAGATGAATTTAAGATGGAAAAACAGTGAAAATTATAGAAACTGAAACCGACAGATTAATTCAGATACAAGTCAAGTTGAACTCAATGCCTCATACAGTCCCTTGGAAGTAAACTCTGTGGGGTTTTCTTCTGAGAAAACATGCGCAGGGTCACACTGCATGGGTGGAGTGTTGCGTGACCCGGGGATCCGTGGAGCCTTGGGTTCTGTGCACCAGTGTGCAATATTGTGTGTTACACAGAACAGAAAAAGGGCTGTGCTTGATCGGAACAAAGGTCTGTCTGGGCCTGTTCTGATTGCTCCCAGGCCAGCCCATGAGGATCCCACAAGCAGGACAAAAACAGGTCTCTCCTGCAGCTGGCATGGCCAGGCGTGCTGCCCTCACACTGGGGGAAATGTCTGGAGGTCATGAGTGCAGCCATTGAGTGCCTTCTCCTCCATGCAGTTGTCTACTCCTGTTTCGAAGCCCAGGCCAATACAGAACCTGTTCACGAGTAAATAAAAAATAAGCAGCCAATGGGCCACACACAGTTCTCAAAGTATCCTGGCATGCAGAATCCAACAGGGAACGTTAAAAAGTGGGTTTCTCATCTTATGATTTTGCAACTACTAGTTCAATCTTCTCCACATCTATTTAGAAGAAAGTCTCACTGCTTTCAGCAGAGCTCACTTCCAGAAGTGTGTACAGGACTCCAGCCAGTTTTTAATAACTGGGATTTGATTTTTTGAAAAAGCTGGGTTTTTTTTTAAAAAATCCAAATTATTACAGAAGCCAAAATCCATTCTTTAAGAAAGATTCAGGTATGGGGCTTTTTGCCTTTCAGTGTCACCACCATTTCAGGATGATATGTTTTTATGTAACTTTCCTGCAACTAAATATGGATGCTATTATATTACCTATATGCAACTTAATATGCAAATGAGGTGTGGGACTTCTTGGCTCATGATGTCACTCTGGACTGTTCTCAGTCAGAGCCGAGTCCCCTGATGTGCAGCCCTGGCTGGAAAGTGGATTTAAGTGGTTTGCGGTTTCAGAAAAGACTGTAATGAATGATTAAGTTTTTAAAATAGCTCTTGAGGCTGAGCTCAGAAGTGCAGATGAGAATGAGATACTGACCGAATTTCCACATTTGTGCTGAAGTGATTGTGCTTCTCTACCATGAGAAAAGGAGAAAATTAATTGCAAAATACCTGGCACATTTTTTTCCTTTAGCAAATATCTTTGTCCAGTTCCTCACAATTACTGATGTAGATTCATTTGTACATTTGTTGGCTGGTTCCAATGGCAGTGAGAAGGCAGACTGGCTGAGGGAGGGTAACTTCTACCCAAGTTGGAGTCAGTGCAGTGCAGGGCCACAAGGATGGTGGCCGGATTGCAGGGAATGCCGTATGAGGTGAGACTGATGGAACTGGGTCTCTTCAGCCTGGAGAAGAGGAGACTCCGAGGGGATATGTTGGCGACATACAGGTATGTGAGGGGATGCCACATGGAGATGGGTAGAGACCTGTTCTCCCCTGCAGAGGAAGGCAGGATGTGCTCCAGTGGAGCAAAGCTCAGGGAGCCAAGGTTCCATCTGGATGCTAGGAAGCACTTCCTGACAGTCAGGACCCCGAGGGTGTGGAATGGGCTTCCATGAGAGGTCGTTGAGGCCCCATCGGTGCGGG